CCCAAACTTCTTGGTGGCTTTGTTCATTTTTTAAATTATTTTTTCTTTGTCTTTGATGGATTGGGTTAATTTGAAAGTCTTGTCTTCAAGCTCTGCAGTTCTTTCTTCTGCTCGTTCAATTCTGTTGCTGAGACTTTCCAGTGCATTTTGCATTTCTCTAAGTGTGTCCTTGATTTCCAGAAGTCATTATTATTTTTTATTTATGCTATGTATTTCACTAAAGACTTTTCCTTTCATATCCTGTATCATGTTTTAGATTTCTTTAAGTTGGACTTCATCTTTTTCTGGTGTCTCCCTGATTAGCTTAGTAATCAACCTTCTGAATTCTTTTTCTGGCAATTCAGAGATTTCATCTTGGTTTGGATCTACTACTTGTGAGCTGGTGTGATCTTTTGGGGGTGTTAAAGAACCTTGTTTCATCATATTACCAGGATTGTTTTTCTGGTTCCTTCTCATTTGGGTAGACTGCATCAGAGGGAAGATCTAGAACTCAAGGGCTGCTGTTCAGATTCTTTTGTCCCATGGGGTGCTCACTTGATGTGGTGTTCTCCCCCTTCCTCTAGGAATAGGGCTTCCTGAAAGCCGAACTGCAGTGATTGTTTTTGCTCTTCTGGGTCTAGCCACCCAGGGGAGCTACCAGGCTCCAGGCTAGTACTGGGCAACATTTGCAAAGAGTCCTGGGATGTGATCTGTCTTCAGGTCTTTAGCCGTGGATAACAGCACCTGCTCCAGTTGGAGGTAGCAGGGGAGTGAAGTGGGCTCTGTGAGGGTCCTTAGTTGTATTTTGGTTTAGTGTGCTGGTTTGTGTTGGTTGGCCTCTAGCCAGGAGGTGGCGCTTTCAAGATCACATCAGCTGCAGTATTATAGGGAGGATGCAAACTTGCCCTGGGGAAACCCGGTTTTCAGGTTTCTCAGGCAGTGGGCAGGGCCAGAGAGCTCCCAAAAGATTATAACTTCTGTCTTCGGCTACTAAGGCAAGCAGAGAAAGACCCCCAGGTCGGGGCAGGGTTGGACATGTCTGAACTCAGACTCTCCTTGGGCGGGGCTTGCTGCAGCTGCTGTAAGGGATAGGAGTGTGGCCAATGGAGTTATGTTCCCAGGGGGATTATGGCTGCCTATGCTGAGTCATACAGGTCGTCAGGGAAGTGGTGGAAAGCCTGCAGTCACAGGCTTCACCCCGCTTCCACACAGCCATAGTCCTAAAGGCTGGTCTCACTCCCGTCATGCCTTGCCAACAGCACTGAGTCTATTTCCAGGCAGCCGGAGACCAGGGCTGAGAACTTGCCCCAGACCACGAGCCTTCCCATTTAGAAAGCAAGCAGACTCACAGTTTTTTGGTGTCTCAGGGAGCCTGCAGCAGTGATCCAGTTCCTTCACAAGGGGGGTCTGTGGATTGTCTCAGCTTTCCTGGTATGTTCCTGCCATAGTTCTTGGAGCAAAAGTTCATGATGTTAGCTTCTACACAATGCTCTGTCTGAGCGGGAGCTGTAATCTAGTCCTGCCTCCTATCCATTATCTTTTTGTTTTTGTTTTTTTGAGACAGAGTTTTGCTCTTGTTGCCCAGGCTGGAGTGCAATGGTGCAATCTTGGCTCACTGCACCCTCTGCCTCCCAGGTTCAAGTGATTCTCCTGCCTCAGCCTCCCGAGTAGCTGGGATTACAGGCATGCACCACCACACCAAGCTAATTTTGTATTTTTAGTAGAGACTTGGTTTCAGCATATTGGTCAGGCTGGTCTCGAACTCCTGTCCTCAGGTGATCCACCCGCCTTGGCCTCCCAAAGTGCTGGGATTACAGGCGTTGAGCCATGGCGCCCAGCCCCTATCTGTCATCTTAATCCTTTGAAGATTAAGCAATTTTTTATGCTATAATTTCTTCAAACATCATTTGTCCATTCATTCACCCATTCATCCAATCACTCATTCCCTCAACAACCTTGTGCATCTACCATGGGCCAGGCGCTGTGCTAAACACATGAAGTCTTTGCCTTTATGGAATTTACAGTCTAATAAGGGAGTGAGACAGTAAATGGACTACTAAGAGAATATGAATTCAGGAAAGTTCCATAAACGTCAGGGTGCTACAATGGAAAGTCTCAGGGAGAGGAACTTAGGGTGAACAGAGAACCTGATGGAAGAGGAAGCATGTGAGACTAGGTGAGCAGGACCCGGGCCCAGGAAGGCACAGGAAAGAACATCTGCCAAAGCCCTACAGCATGAAAGAGCATGGTGTGCGAGCTGTCCCAAGAAAGGCCATTTGTGTGACACACTGGGAGCTAGAGGAGCGGCCTGAGACCATGTTAGAGTCACCATAGTTTGAGTTTTTAAAAGACGCTCCTGGTGGCTTCTTAGAGAATAACTGAAGAGGGGTAAGAATGGAGGTAGGAGCCTCTAAAAGCTCTTGTGGTTGTCCAGGCAAGAGATTCTGGTGGCTTAGACCACAGTAGTGGAAGTGGAGATGGGAAGAAATGGTTGTATTTGAGCTTGTATTTATATCTTGGAAGAATTCATAATACTTGCTGATGGACCGGAGATGAAGAGTGAGGGAGAAGATGGAAATTAGGGAAATGCCCGGATTTATGAGTTGAGCTACTGGCACTGAGAAGAACTTGAAGAGGGAGCTAGTTAAGTGGGATATAAAAGTTACTGTTCAGGGCATGTTTAAGAAGACATCTGTGAGAAAGTCAAGAGGGGAGTTTGCTACAGGAGTCTGGAGGTAGAGACCAGTGCTGGGATGTAAATGTGATGATGTATGTATGTATGTATTTTGAAACAGGGTCTCACTCTGTCACCCAGGCTGGAGTGCAGTGGCCCAATCACGGCTCACTGCAGCCTCAACCTCCTGGGCTCAAACAATCCTCCCACCTCAGCCTCCTGAGCAGCTGGCACTACAGGCACATGCCACCACACCCAGCTCATTTTTCTGGTTTTTTGCTTTGTACAGATGTGGTCTCACTATGTTGCCCAGACTGGTCTTTGAAGTCCTGGGCTCATGTGATCCTCTGGCCTTGGCCTCCTAAGTGCTGGGATTACAGGCATGAGCCACTGTACCCGGCCAAATGTGATGGCATTTAGAATCATGGAAAGAAATCGCCACAAATCCAAAAACCAATCCCAAGAAACTCACAGCAGTGGAGCAGTTGCCCAAGAAGACGAAAAAGAATGGCCTGAGAGGCAGTGGAAAAGCAGAGACATGAACAGAAGTCAGTTCAAGGAGGAATGGTCAACTGGGTCATGTTTTGGAGAAATCAAATAAGGTGAAGACAGAAAGATCTCCACTAGTTCTGGCAATATGAACATAAAGGGTGGCATGAGTAAGAGAACTGTGGCTTAAGTGGTGGCAGCCAAGTGAGATTAGAGTGAAGAATGAATGAACTACTCATAAAGTTCTTAAGAAAACTAGGAATAGGAGGAAACTTCCTGACCTTGATAAAGTATTATCTATCAGAAACCTACTATAAGCATCAACTTAGTGAGTAACGAATATGAGCATTAACCACATTTTATTTCCTCCAGTACTGTGCCAGTGATCTGAGCCCAAGGCAAAAAGGCAATAAAAATAAATGAGATACTATCTGCGTGATTCAAATTAATAAAAGGGCTCTGCAAGCTGGCTAGATATATAATATACAAAAGCTATTCATTAGCAATAACCAAATGTAAAAGAAAATAGGAGACAGGTCTCAATCGAATAACAAAACTACCCAAGACCTTTATGGGGAAAAGCGATAAACCTTAAGGCCTGTGCCAGGAGATGCCCTGGGAAGGGGCTTGCTTCAGCCATTTAATTGGCGACAATTCCTCCTTCATCTGGAAATTCATAGGCTTGATAAACGATCACTAGTGTTTCTAGAAAATGGTAACATGTGGCCTTGGTCATTTCATCCCACAGAGAAAGTTTATTATAAGTTACAACAAAAGAAGAAAACGTAAAAAAATGTTCCGCAAAACATTGTTTTATTATGAGAAATTATACAGGGTTCTTACTTTTTAATATTTTTATGACACTAGAGGAAGCCTGCTTCTCGGTAAGGATCCCAAACAAGAAAAAGCTGGACTTGCCTGTTGCCACTAGTCCATTACCCCAAAACATGGGTGGGCCGCTTGTCATCTGCCTCTCTATGACAGAAAGGGGGATGTATGTGCCACTCCAACTTTTTAATCAAATGAAGGAAACTATATGAGCAAAGAGTTGAGGAAACAGTGTAGGTACTTATGATACTATTATTTAACATTATCTAGTATTATTTAACATCTATTAGTCAGTGAGCCATGATTGTGCCACTGTAATTCAGCCTTGGGTGACAGAGCAAGATGCTATCTCAAAAAAAAAAGAAAAGAAAAAAATTTTCCCTAATAAATGTATAACCCATAAATTCAATTTAATCTCAATTAAAATTTCCAATGGCTCTTTCATGAAGTTAACAATAGGGCCTTGCCCTACTACATATCCAGTCTTAGAACAGATAGACAAAGCAATAGATGTGTTGGGGCATTTTAAAGGGAGAAAATAAAGGATGAAAAATGGCCTTTAAGCTGAGAAGAAAGGAAGTAAGGTTTATACATACAGCAGAATATTATTCAGCCTTTAAAAAGAAGGAAATTCTGACACATGCTACAACATAAGGTGGCTGAATCTTGAGAACATTATATAAAGTAAAATAAGCCAGTCACAAAAGGACAAATATTTATAATTTCACTTATAAGGTACCTAGAGTCATCAAATCGATAGAGACAAAATACACTGGTGGTTGTCAGGGGATGGGGGAAGGAGGAGTTATTGTTTCCGTGTGTGATGATTGAAAAAGTTCTGCAGATACAAAGTGGTGATGTTTGTACAAAAATGTGAATGTACTTAATGCCAGTGAATTGTACGCTAAAAAAGGGTTCAGATGGTAAAGTTTATGTAATATGTATTTTATCACAATTTAACATTTTAAAAAATATAAATGACAGGAAAACATTAACTGAAGTTAAGGCAACATTTATTTGATTTCCTTATAATCATATTACCTAAGGCAGAAGTGGTGGTTACTTGGCAAGAATACAATTTCTTTTAATGTCTTCTTTAGTTCAGAAATCATATTTCACTGGTACAAATCTGAGAGAATGTACTTCTAGCATGGGCTCCTATTGATGATCAATGTATTTTTGTGTCACCATGGCTTGATCAAATGCAATCGCTGTTTCAATGGCAGGGCATGGCCAGTTGTGGCAGCTGCTCTGAAGGTCACTTGTTTTACTGTGGCCTGGCCAAGCAGAGTAAGAGTGGGTCACAGTGAGCTCACTGGTCTCTTCAGGCTGTGCTCTGAATGATGACAGCAATACCTTGGCCGCCTCCAATGCAAGCTGATCCAACGGCATATTTTCCACCTCGACGTCTGAAAAAGAAAGCAGTGACTGAAATCTACTCTAATTTAAAAATTAGATTAATTAAATAGAACTAATAACAATCCCATTTGCATTATTCATTCTTATTCAGCTCATCTGCTCAATCTTTTCCCCAGTCCTCAATATTGGTATGATTACAACAGGAAAAGACTTTGGAAAGCTGAAAGTTTTTAATTAAAAAAAAAAAAAAAAAGGGAGGCAAACTAAAAAGGAGATGAGTGGATTTAGGGTTAGAGGACCTGAAACACATACACAAGCTTGCATGTGTTATGGGAAAGAAGTGAGAAGAGGAGGTAACTGGATAAACAGGGGAAGCTGGGGAAGGGGATGAACATTCAGCTCCTTTAATTTATACAGTGAGAGCCTCATGGCACCTTAGAAGAAATGTAATTAATAAAGTTTGTCCCTATGAAAGGGCAGATAATTTAGAAACTATCCATGTCCCTTTCATAAAAATTAGACTCTTTTAAAGTACTCGTCACTCCTAAGATGATGACTTTGAGAAAATTATCCAGGAATTATTTCTGTATGTGTCAAACTTCTGTATATGTCAATCACCTATTTCAACTCAGTGAATCATTAAGTGAAATAAGAGTCACATTTCCCCTGCCCTAACAGGGAGTCAGAGTAATTTTTCAGCCTGACTTACTTGGTTTTGTTTGCAATTTTTGTACAAACAGAGCAGAATGTTCCAAAATTAGATAGTACCAGAAGGAGGAGCTCTTCTATCAAAACTGAAAAGTACCGAACACACAAAAGGTTCCTGTGGAACCCTGGAAGCAGTGAAAAGAAAAACTTAGCTCAGACCCAAATTGTCAGTTTGCTTAGATTTCATAAATTATGGCATCTAGATCAGTACTCACTCCGTACTTTTTTTTCTAAAATAAATTTATTTCACTCCTGTAACTGGCACTAAAACACATGTGCCATGAGAAGCAGGGCCTCATTATCCGCTCATGCAGTGAACACAAGCTGAGTGGTGCATAAAGACTGGACACACAGAGGAAGGAAGAGCTTGGTTCCTAAGTGCAGAGCCACTAACAAGCTGACTGACTCATCTAAGAGACCAGATGAAAAGCACTACCCAAGTAACTTGTTCCTGGTAAGAGCCTGTGCAGGAGACATGAAGAATGAAAAATGTTGGAGTGTTTTGGGGAAACCTAAACCCATGCATTTCTATAAAAAACAGCAAATCTGAAATGCAGCTATTTCTAGCAAGTACCTTAATTCATGAACCAGGTGTGCAGTAATTCTTGATCCAGATCCTCCCAGTGGGTGACCCAAAGCAATGGCTCCTCCATTCACATTGGTTTTACTTATGTCAAGATCCAAACTCTTCTCAACAGCCAAGTACTGGGGAGCAAAAGCTTCATTGACCTTAAAACAAAAATTAAAGCACTAACAAAAATCCTTACTCACAAACTAATTTTTAAATGAGAATGGTCGAGTCCTATCAATAGCTAAGTCTGCTGTTTCTTCCTGTTTAAGTTACCTCACAAAGTTATTATATCTACAGTCATTCTGTATAAAGCTATCAGGTTTGAAATGTGTGCATTTACTAAATAATTTTAGTCAAATGCATCCCTTAGAGGAAATTCTCAGTAATCCCGTAAATTGACACATACCAGACACAGTGGGATATTGTAGAAAGTCCACAGGTTTTAGAACTGGATGGATGGTTCAAATATTGGCTATATCATTTGTTAGGGTGTGACCCTGTGTGTATTCTTTGAACTCTTTAAATTCACAATGTGGCAGAACTGAAAAGTATCATATTATACTTACCCAAACTTGCAATTACCTTACTTCAAGTTTATAGTACTGTATTATCATATGATCTTAATTCAGGAACTTTATAGATAAGGAAACTCATTCTAAGAAAGGTAACTTTTGCAGAGTTGGGATAAAATTCATTCTGTGCTCTTTCCTACTATACTCTGTGGTCTCTCAAGATGGTGCCTCATTTGTGCTGAGATCCACCATTATCTTTCTACTCTACAGAGCCATCTTCAAGGAGATACTAAGAGACCTAGACTAGGTAGTGAAACTAGGCTTCTGAACCTAGGAAAACTGTTCTGAGTTATGTCCTTGAGAATGTATACATTTACAAATGATTACGAACAACTTTCCAGAGTAGATATACTTCAATAGTTTTAAATGTGAAGTCTAAAGTGAGAAATTTAGTGGTACCTATTTGCTGACACAAATATAATAAATTAAGCAGCCTCTTTGAGGCTCTGATCTGTGATCTACTAAAAGTAGAAGAGATTTAAGGATAAACCACTTGTCTGAAATCATGGTTTCCTATGTGAGAGATTATCATAGAGGAAATCACACCTGTGCCTACGCCTTCTCTATTGAATTAAATATAGTCAGATTTCCTTTGTTCTGTTAGTTATTTCCCAATGCCAACATCACATGCTTAATCACCTAAAATTTTCAAATACTCCAAAAGTGTGGAACGTATATAACCATCTTTGTTTCTCCACCTCTTCTTTTAATTATGCTAAATGCTGAAGACACTTTAGTGCTAATACAACATTTAAAAAGAGATCACTCAATAAATTTAAGTTCTAGTGTCAAAAATTATGATAGGTGCATCCGAAATCAAGCTATGACTATCGTATAAAAGCCAAAGATACATTTAGATACATTTAAGGGAGGGGGCTCTATTTGGGGAGAAGGGCAAGAAACTTGTAGATTTGGTACTAGATATGGCTTTTCTATTATGTCAATTATTTTACATTTCTTTACTTTATTAAATTAAGTTAAAGTTACTTTTCTCCCACCTTATATAATATTCAACAGGGATGTTAATAGTCTAAAATGTAACAGAGTTTTATACAGTAGTAAGAAATTTCCAGGAATTTATACTTTAGTAGGAGAAATCAGGCAGTTTGAATATTCAAATAAAAGTAAAGCATTTTAACCAGGTGGGGAAAAGGATCAACACAAGGCATCTAATGAAGGTACTATTTATTTAGATGTACATCATTTGGAAAGGCTAACTACAATGAAATTCAAAGAGCAATGAGACCAAATTAAAGTCATTTATGCTATAGAAGTACATGGTTTATTCATGTTGTAAAAAAAGAAAGAACACTTACCTCTACCAAATCCATGTCCTTAAGACTCAGTCCTGCTTTCTTCAGTGCTCCACTGATAGCAGGGACAGGACCTATATAATAAAAATCTTCTATAAAAATATAGAAATAAACGTCATCTTATATTTATGTATCAAGCTTCTCCTTCTTTCCAAGTAAGGAAGAAATAATGCAGCAATTATTAGTAGCCACAAACCTTACTATCTTGACAGTACCTATTAAATGAAGTGACAATAAAGAGGCAGAAAAAGGGCCCAGGCATGGTGGCTCATGCCTGTAATCTCAGTACTTGGGGAGGCTGAGGTGGGAGGATCACTTTAGGCCAGGAGTTCAAGACCAGCCTGGCAACACAGCAAGACCCGGTCTCTTAAAAAAAAAAAATAATAATAATAAAAATAAACTGGAACCAAGGTGAAAAGTTGTTTATACATTCAAACTGCAGATAAAAGAATTACATGAAAAGTTCTACCATAAACAGCTTTAAGATTTAAAACAGCCAAAGGAATCATATATGGGATTTTATAGTCAGTTATATTAATAGATCATAATTGATATCAAAGACCAAGGCAGAGTGAGTGCTCTCCTGGGAGCCAAGCCATATGCATTCATAGCACAGAAGTTACTGTGGCTACACTCTGAATTTTCAGGCCCATTTGGATAAAAGGCAAGAAATAGCAGCAGTATCGCCACATGGGCACAGAGAGATGGGAAGCTACGAGGCACTTCAGGGAAGGTTTTATCAAGTAAGGTGATGTTTACAACTCCAAGGGTAGGCAGAAAATTAAATAAAACATAACTTCTAATTTAAGAAATGCAATGCCATCTAATAAGACTTCTGAAATAAACTTTAGCTCCCAGATTTCTGATGATCTAATGAGAGTTTAATATTGCTCATAATTTAAGTAAATCCATATTTTTTTCCAAAAGGTAAAAAATTTGGGTAGAGATGATTATCTACTTTTCTATTTGTTCTTGAAGAATGAAACTGCCAAAAATGTCTACAAAGAAAAATATGTGGTATGTTCTGCTGAATGCAAGTAGTCAAATATTCAGCATCAAGTTTCACAAAAATCAGTATTTACAAGAAAGGTATAATGAAACCTAAATATAATATTTATTTTGTCACGCAGTTAAAATGCTCTTTGGACAACAAACCGTGTGCTTATTGATTAGGACTGTCCAGGTAATGCATTTCAATTTAAAATGCCAGTTTCATGTGGCTACTGATTTACTACAGGATCCAATTCCAGATTCTCTTTGTATGTCTAAAGCATGAAAATGTGAAAATGAGATGGGTATTCAGTAGTAAAGCATCAATTATCCAGCCTGGTCAGGGGATGAAGTAGCTAACAGTGGTGACAGATACATAAAAGGCAGACAATGTTCAGACCACTGTACACACTTCCTTGTCTGCATAAACAACACAGCAAGCATGACTCAGTATGTTCACTTTAACTCAGAATCCACCATAACAATACGCTAGGCCCTAACTTGATTTTTAAAGGACTCTTCCCAGACCACTGTTATTTACTGGGACTCAAGAAGGTTTAGTATTCTTGTTAGGAAAAGGAGACCTTATTACTAGTCCTGTTTCCTGTCACTAATAGCTATGCAACTTTGTGGCATCTCTCTGGGCATCAAGCTACTCATCAATAATGCTCTGAATTGGTTTTCAACCTTTTTCTCTTTAAGCATCAGGATTCTTTCTGCATAAGGAAGCCGAGTAATAGATAATGCCAGAACTGCTCCAGCTGAAGAGGCTCAAAGTTCCGCCCACCACCTTCTACCATTGCCCACCCCTGAGGAATTCCAGGGAGTGCTGTCTTTCTATAGCTGTGTACTTCCTCAGAACACTACTATTCTCTTCAAGTCATGGCTTTCCCCCACTTTTTTTTTTTGGTCTGCAGCTATACTGCAGGGCTAAGGATTGCTAGTTGTTAGGTAATCATAGGACTGAGGACCACTATTCTTATAAGTAAGTTAGATTAACAAACCAGTTGATACTCAACAACTTATTCTCCCCGCTTATTCATCTGGGATGCTTCAAGTAGTTACCTTGTTTAATCCCATCACTACACACAAGTGACAGACAAGCTTCTAGATGAAGGGGGCAGCTGATACTGTGGGACACCTGGAATGTACAGCTCTGTTCAAGCCCTGAGGAAAAATGACAGTCCTACCACAGTGGCATTCTTTGTATTTTAGGGCAAATATTCAGGCCCAGGAACAGAAGGAAGGAAAACAACCCTTTCTTTGCTCACTGGCTATGCTAATCTATCAGAACCTATTAAATACGGTTAAACTGTAAAAGAAGTATAAAATAACCAACCCATGTCACATATATTTGTTTGATCATCAAAAGCATCTAGGTGTATGGGAAAAAAAAAAAACCAAAAGAACTCTGCTCTTGTGCTGGGCGTGGTGGCTCACGCCTGTAATCCCAGCACTTTGGGAGGCTGAGGCAGGTGGATCACCTGAGGTCAGGAGTTTGAGACCAGCCTGGCCAATGTGGTGAAACTGTCTCTACTAAAAATACAGAAATTAGCCACGTGTGGTGGTGGGCACCTGTAATCCCAGCTACTGGGGAGGCTGAGGCAGGAGAATCACTTGAACCCGGGAGGCAGAGGTTGCAGTGAGCTGAAATCACGCCACTGCACTCCAGCCTGGGTGACAAAGTGACTCTGTGTCAAAAAATAACAAAACTAAACAAAACAAAAAACAAAACCCAGCTCTGCTCTTGGGCTCCACTCTGAACCTACTGAAACAAAATCTAAAGGTGTGGGATTATGAGCGGATTTTGACAATCATCTGGGGTTGGGAACCACTGCCCTAGATATCAAAATAATAAATGCCATAACAACATATGGATGTTTAATTTTTCCACCACCTTCCATTTCTAAGACAAAAGTTATGTTTTGCCAATAGTGGATAGCCGAAAGCTAATAAGCTTCTAAGATTGACTTTTCACAGGTGTCAAAATATCTTGCAGTTCTTGCTGACATAAATTTGAGACACATAGTGAGAGACGACAAGCTATGAACATGCCAGCTTTCTTAGGAATTCTATACAGAAATATGTCTTCTCTAAGGGACATGGCAGCAAATATGGTTGAGTATTAATCCCAAATCAGCGTAAGTGGTATTGTTCAAGTAGAACCCCTAGGCTTACACTGAAGGATCTCTGAGATGACAGGTTGGTAACAGGTTCTCCTCCTTCTCTCTTGGAACCTACCTCAAAACAATTTAGTTACTCAAAAAAGGGCTAAACAATCTGAAATCTATACCCTAGGGCAGGCTTTTCCTTAGAGTGGGAGGTTGTATGTAGGTGGGATAGATCAAAGTTACTGAGCACCAAATTTTATTTTTCCAAGTGAGGCAACTAATTGGTTCCCTGTTCCCCGAGAGAATGACACGAACTATTAAAATTCAGCATCATGTGTGGTTCCTAGTAGTGCATCCAGCAATAGAGTTCCAAATTTTTTCCAGCTAGTACTTTACCAATCTAAATAATTATTTATAAGTCTTTATTTTGCTAATACTCACCTGAGCAAGAGGAATATTATTTTGACTTCCTGAGACTATGCGTTTAACTCACAGTGAAGAGAGCACTTGATTTCAGAGACTTGGATTCATACCCTGGCTGTCACTTACTGATTTGGAACCTTACCAGACAACCTCCCTAAGCCTCAATTTTCTAATTCACAAAGAAGTCTCCCTTACTAGAGACGTGGGAAGACTGAATGAGGTACTTTCATTGTGTGTAAAACAACCAGCAAGGAGCTGTGGTACCACCTTCTCCACACAGCCTTCTCTATTTCACCCCAGGATTTCTCCCATCTCATAATTTATTTTATCTTGTCAGGATCACGTTTCTGTTTCGATTATTTCTGTTATTTTCTGTGTGTTGATTTCTAAACTCTCAAAGGAACAATAAGATATGATTACTGTGTGTTGATTTTTTAAATCTCAAATGGACACTAAGATATAATTACTTCCTCCATGGAGTTTACACGGTCTTGGTTTTTCTATTGTGTCTAGGATAGTTCTTCATAAAGATTTTTTATTTAAACTGATCACCAATCTTCTTTTCTCTACAGGTGACCTTGGTTTGGCCACTTTTTCAGGACTCTAAATGCCAAAGAAGACTTATCTCCAGAGATATTATAGAACCGGTTTGTTTTACTACAAACTTACCAATACCCATGATAGAGGGATCACATCCAGATACAAAGTAGCCCACAATTCTTGCCAGTGGTGTGAAGTTATGCTTCTTAACAGCATCTTCACTAGCTATGATAACAGCTCCAGCACCATCAGCTATCCCCTTGAAAATAAAAATACTAGAATAACTAAAGGCTAAAATAATCCAGTTAATCAAGGTTTGAACTAATGGAGTAGTAGTATCAGGAATATGGCAGGACATAGGAAGCCAGTGCACAATCTGAGATAACAACTAGAAAAGTGGTACTCTGGTGGATGAAGGAGATTTTTTAAGGCACAGAACACAACTTTACTAAAGAAAAAGGAAAAGGGTGTCAAGGAAAAACTTCTTTCTAGATGTGAGTAGATGTAAGAAAAAATACGATGAACTGTATGCATGAGAAAAAAAAGTTTGAAAACCAAAATAAGCCAGTTAGATTTGTTTCCGAAATGTCTTAGTTTGGAAAAAACTAAGAAATCAGAAGAGTATTATATAAATATGAAAAGATTTTGTGTGGGACTATGAAAACCTACATTGATTGAATATGAACACTATTAGTTTAAGCTAAACAACTAAAGACTGGCATAAAAAGTATTTACAAGATACTTCATGATTATCTTGTGTTGAACACATCAGGAAGAATTGAAGCTAATCTGTGTGGTGATACCAACCGATGCATTCCCTGCAGTGACAGTTCCATCTTTCTTGAATACTGGAGGAAGTTTCTGTAACTGTTCCAGGGTGGTTTGGGGCCGAGCATGCTCGTCTACCTGCATTGTCTGTTTTCCTTTCTTTGTCTTCACTTCAATTGGTGCCATTTCATCATTAAAGTAGCCAGCATCATTAGCTGAAAAATAGTAGAAGGACTATCATAAGAATAAAAGAAACATGAATATAAGTCAAACATATTCAATTTCTGATCTACCCTTTCCTCACAGTCTACTTTAAAATTGAGTCTTTATTATTTATTTATTTTTAAGATGGAGTCTTGCATTGACGCCCGGGCTGGAGTGCAATGGCACAGTCTCAGCTCACTGCAACCTCCGCCTCCCGGGTTCAAGCAATTCTCCTGCCTCAGCCTCCCCAGTAGCTGGGATTATAGGCGCTCACCACCATGCCCGGCTAATTTTTTTATATTTTTAGTAAAGACGGGGTTTCACCATGTTGGCCACGCTAGTCTCGAACTCATGACCTCATGATTCGCCCTCCTTGCCTCCCAAAGTGCTGGGATTACAGATGCGAGCCACTGCACTCAGCCTGAGTCTTTACTACTTACTTACACAACTTATCATCCATATTGGAGGATTCATGATACCATCATGTGTTTATGTAGATGTATTTTGCATCTTTTAAAAATTATATTTTTAAAAATTATATTTTAATTTCTTCACTACAATTTTTTTTTAACCAGGTACTGCTAAGAGTGTTAGCAGCATTTGTCTGTTAGCTATAGACGTAAAGGCACTAAGTGGATTTAATGCCCCTTTTAAACTTCTTTTGGTGAGATAAGCAATTAAAAAGTTACCAAGTTATCTATGCCACAAAGTAATCTAACAAACTTAACAGTGATAGGCAACACGAAGAAATTATGGGAGCAATCACTAATACAATTATAAGTAAAACATCTTACCTACTTTGACCTCCACTGACTAGAATGTACTGTAGTAATCTACAGCTTCGGAAATAGGGTCAGGAATCATACTAACCTAATTTGGGTATCACTTTACAATTGGCAAAATACTTTCTTTGTATGCCCTTAGTGATTTTACAACAACCTTATTAGATAAATAGGGAAAGCAAATATTGTTATCTCTATTTTACAGAGGTTCAGTGAATAAATGATTTGACTGAGCTTGATAACTTGTGCATGGTAGAAGTAGAAACAGAACTGATAACTCTTGACTTCCAGACCAATCCTCTTCTACTATGAACATATAACTAAAAAAACACAGATGAGTTGGATGGCATCAGCTCTATTCCACTTATCCTTCTGAAATGCTAAGATGGACTTTATCCTCATTACTTCAAGCATTTAATACTCCTAAATAAGAGTTTCCACTTGCTTTAACAGTTTAATTTTTAAAATATCACATTTCTTGAACTGCTGTTACATTGCCTGTTTTGGACTGGCGCTATAGCAACCTGCTGTGCTACACCAGGGCACTCTAACTAGAGTCTCAGACTAGTTCTAAGTCTCCGAGTCAGGTACAATGATTCTTAATTAGGAATGCGAGAAGGAAAGCATAAAAGACCCAGTGGGTCTTTTCCAAACACATTACCCCTTCTTATGATTATGATATGGCTTGTGGGAGAGGACATCCTCTATATTCCAGTTCACAGTGAGCTATCACCTCTGACAGAGTGTATCATATTCCTCAGCATGTTCTACTGACAACAGGACCAGTTCAGCACAAAATTCAAGGGTCCATCTAGGGTCAAGTAGCAATACCACTTTTTAAGTAGTATTAACTTTTTCAAAACAGAAATTCCCAGTTAATTTTGCAATAATTAATAAAATATCTAATCATCTAAAAACGAATAATGAAAAGATGTAATAATTCTTAAAGGTATGATTTGTAAATATTATATAACCATAATAGAAATGATGAAAATATTTCCTATAGATATTTATTCTATAGATACTGATATTTTCCAATTTCACTCACCAGCTTTCCATCTCTGCTGTGACTGCAGGGCATATTTGTCACATTCTTCTCTGCTTATTTTGTGTTTTACAGCAAGATTCTCTGCAGTCATTGCCATGGGGAGCTGGACATGCTGATCTGTTAATCCCGCCCATAAAGAATCTTCCAGCTATTAAAAGACATTAATAAAGTGACTTGTTAAGGCATTACCTTTTAAAAGTAATATATCATAAGTTCTTTAAATAACACTTCCAATAAACAAAAGTAAAATTAAGACTTTCTGATAACCATTTACTATTTTCATATTCCTATTCGGTTCTGGGATATTTTCTAAAAACATGCAATGTTTTTGAGAACATTCAATGTCACACAATAAAATGCACACATTCTCTGTCCCTCTCTAAATATGGGTCTAAGAACAGCCAACAGGACTAGACGTGCATGGTGAGATCACAGAAGTTACCCTCTAATCAAAAACTAAATCCTCAAGGTCATATTTTGTAGAAAACCTGACAATGAGTCTTCATGCAATGTTTTCTTATAGCCACCTTTGTAAACCAGCCCTGAGTTCTGTAATAAAGAGTATATCTTTCTCATCCTGTGCCTCAGTGACAGGAATAGCTGGTTCTATCAGTTACTATGAGGCTGAAAAGAACTTGGGACAGGCTCTCAGAGTCACAGAAAGGTTGTTAATTATTATTCAAGTAGTTAGAGTCTCTGCTAAGTGTGTCCCATTTTGCTGCGTCATCAATGTTTGACTCACTGACTTGTCTTTATAAAGGATATCTCAAATGTGTTTCATGGCTAAAATCCACATAGATTCTCTTAAGTCTCATTCCTTTCAACTTTCAAAAAGGTCAGGTGAGAAACCGGGTGAACAGTGTAAGTCAAACATTACTATTGAAAATGCTAAAAAATATAAAATGTCAGTAGCCCTTTCACATGGGAATGAGAAGAAAACATAATTCTTTATCAGTATTGTACTATCATTCTCAAGTTGTAGCTCTCAAAGATAAAATCAGTTTTTGTTTGATTTGGGACAATATAATCTGTATTCAAAGATGTTTTGTGTGATGAAGAAGAAATCTATTCTGAGATTGTCCCAGAAATAAAACTTCTATAAGTCACATTAAAGATTTAATTACTCAGATTACTTATTGTTTAGTAGGGAGATTAATTCACCCTTTTGTCTATCTTTTTAATCCACTTCTTCCCTTCCTCCATCTCTCCCATGCCTATGGCCACTTACACAGGATAATTATACTACTAGAGGTCTGCTGAGATAGAATCTAATTTCATATGGGTTAAAAATGTCAAAACTAACAACCAAAATAGAGTTTTGAAATAGTTTACAAACTTCTAATCATTCATATCTTGCCAATCCTCATCAACAAAATTGGTATCAAAATTAGTTTTCACTCCCATAAAAAGGTACATTGTTAAAATTACTTATATAATGCTAATAAGAACTAATTCTTTTAAATTTTTATGGTTCCAACCTTGATATCTGATCCCAGCTTGGTTCCAAAACGCACATTTCTGACACAGTAGGGAGCTTGGCTCATGCTTTCGGTTCCTCCACATAAAACAACTTCAGCGTCTTTAACACAAATTTCCTATTTAAAAACAAACAATAAAAACTCCTTTAACCGTACCCAATGTATTAAGAAACATACTGATTTTACAAATTAATGGTAAATACAACAAATATTGTACCCTAGCTTACAGTGTCTCAAAAGGAAATGCTTTTAAAGTAACTGTAAAGCAAACGCTAACGTATCCATTACCAAGACGTAGGGGGAGAAAACTAAAAGGTTTCAATCATGTTTGCCTGAGTAACAGGCCCTACCTACATTTGGCTAAGAATAGTAATACTTAACACAATATAAACCTTGAAAATCAACAGAGATATTAATATCTGGCATAAATGTACAGCAGATAATAAAGGACAAACCCTTTAAAAAGGCAAAAGAAAAATTTATCCCATTAATGGAGGTATCCGAACGAGACCAGAGATTTACAAGAACTAGTTCAATCTAGGTGGCTCATAACAAGGAAATCATTTCATTCTTCCAACACTTTCCACTGTTTGCCTTTCTCAGAAAAGCAGCAAATAATGAGCCTCTAAGAAAACCTGATGTTTCTTAAAATTATTACTAAGAAAAATGAGGTCCGTATTTAAGATATATCGTTATAGAAACAAATTAATGTGAAAATTGTTTATTAAAATATGCCTCTGTCTCTTATTTTGTTTGTAATAAAATGAAGACTTTTACAAATGAAATTGAATTTCACTTTACTCTCTTCCCTGTGTTCAAAGAAACAAATGTATTTAACCAACCATCCTTTAAAAAGGTCAAACTAGTTTGTATTTCTAACAGCATCATTCACTTCCTTTGAAATAAAACACATTTCCTTATCCTCTTCTAAATTCTTGAGAGTTCCTGCTTGCCTCACAGTCTTTATTCAGTGCCTCACAGTTAACGCTCACAGACCTGGGTTCAAATTCTACGACTCAGTAACCTTAATGGCTTTAATAATCAGTTTCCTTGCCTGTAAAATGAGAATAATAATAGTTCTTGCTTCATAGGATGGTTGTAAGATTAAGTGAGATATTGAATGTAAATCTAGCAGGGTGCCTAGCATGTAGGAAGCACTTGAAAAGAATGATGAACATATTAACTTTTAAAAATATTGTAGTAAAGTATATATGTATATAATACCATTTTAACCATTTTTAAGTGTACAGGTCAGTGGCATTAAGTGTATTCATAGTGTGATGCAACCATTACCACCACCCATCTCCAGAACGCTCTTCATCTTGCAAAACAAACTCCATATCCATTAAACACTAACTTTCCCTCACCAGCCACCGGGAACACCATTCTACTTTCTGTCTCTATGAATTTGACTACTCTAGGTATCTCAAAGAAGTAGAAACATACAGTATTTGTCCTTTTGTGACAAGCTTATTCCACTTTCAGGTTCATTATTAGCTTTTTTTTTTTCTTTTTTTTTTGGAGACAGGGTCTCACTCTGTTGCCCATGGCTGGAGTGCAGTGGTATGATCATGGTTGACTTGACCTCCAGGGTTCAAGCAATCCTCCCTAAAGCTAAAGTGTTATATTGCAGTGGGACATTTCTTCTAGTAACTATTAACATATTTTCAGAGAATTTAAAAAAATGTTGTCCATACCTGACATCCATTCACAATGGACTGGAAACCAGAACCACAGAGCCTATTAATCGTGAGAGCTGGGGTCTCCTTTGGGACTCCCACACGCAAACCCACATGCCTTGCCAAATATATAGCATTTGAAGAACTCTAGAAGAGAGAAGGAAAATAAAAATAATATCCTCTATAAATCTAGTAATTAAGAACAAGCACCAAATACATGGAAATGTTGGCAATCTATCAAAAATGATAAACTATATGGCTCTAAGGTAGGACAAAATACATCTAAGTACAGCATATTATATCTAATACATGTTTACAATTTGACTAAAAACTATAGTCAATAGGGTTTTTTTCTATTTTTTTATTGGGGTAAAATACACATAACACAATTTACCATTTTAACCATTTTTAAGTGTATGGTTCAATGGTATTATTTAAATATATTCATAATGTGTAACCATAGTCAATTGGTTTTCAAATATATTAAAGATAATTGCCACTTAGAGAAATCCCACTAAGTCCTTAATATAAGACAGAAATTTATAACAATTAGAGTTATTTAAAAATGGAATAGGCTATCCTAAAGTAGTATGCTCCTTAACAGAGGAAGTATCTGAGGCTGTGGTTCTCAACCTTGGTTGCAGGCTGGAATAACCTAGGAAGCTTTATTACATACTCATGCTCAAGTTCCTAAGCAAATCAATTAAACCAGAAAGGCTGGAGGTGGGGCCTGGGCATCAGTAGTCACTTTTAAAAAGCATCCCAAGTAATTCTAATGTAAAACAGGCTGAGAACTGCATACTTAGGGAGAAGACAGATGAATGATTGGTCAGGAGAGTAAGAGGTAGGAGTAGACCACCGCTCCCCAGACTTTAAAATGCATACAGGGGCATCTTGTTATAATAAAATGTAGGTTCTGAATCAGCAGGTCTATGTCTGCCTGAGATTCTGCATCTCTAACCATTTCCCTGGTGAAGCTGATGTTGCTAGTCCAAGAACCACACTTTGAATAAAAAGAATGCCTTAAAAAAAACAAAAAAAAAAAACAGTAACAACCAAAAATATTAACAGCCTGTTTTGGAGGCTGTTAGCAACAGCAAAAACAAGTCTGACAAAAATGTAAAAAATTGGTCTATCAAGGTACAGGGTTTTAGGATGTTCATTGTACTATTCTTTTAACTTTTGTGTAGGTTTCAAGTTTTTCAAAACTCAACAAATTCAGTACATTTATAAGTTAAGGGTTTTGAATGCAGATGAAACTGGGAGGAACTCAGTATAACATCAATTAATCTACTAACTTTCATTTGTTGACTGAGATGAAATTATTTTACAAATTAATGTCATTAAAAAACTTGGTCAATGGATATTCTTTTGCCAAGGTTTGTCAAATATTGCATATCAACAGAATAAAAAAGATTTACACGATCATCTCAGTCAACAGAAAAAGCATTTGACAAAATCCAACACCCTTTTATGACAAAAACACTGAACAAACTAGGAACAGATGGCAACTTTCTCAATCTGACAAAGGGAATCTATAAAAAATCCACAGCTATCATCATACGTAAAGGTGAAAGGCCAGATGCTTTCCCCCTATAATCAGGAATAAGACAAAGATATCCGTTTCTTATAACTTCTATTCAACATCGGAGATTCTAGCCAGGGTAATTAGGGAAGAAACAGAAAAAGAATCCACATTGGATTTCATTGTTTCTTAAAAAATAAGTAAAACTCATTTATTCCAAATGATATTTAATAATATTAAACTCAATTAGAAAAGCAGCTTTGTGGTATTTGTCAAATGTCATTCAAAGCATATTCTGTTCTCTCTCAACCATAAAGGCCTAACCCCAAATATTTACCTGTTAAGCACTTAACATCCTTACAAGAAAACTCTATCTTGGCCTGACAGAAAACTTAAGGCAAGAAAAACTGTCTTTAGGAACAGAGGCACAAACACAATTAAACTAATACTATTTAGAGTGACTTTGTGTTATAAAGTTTGAGAGAATACATGCTGGGAAAAAAAAATATTTTAGAAGGAAAACTTTAAAATTCTAGAAAACACAAAAACCAAAAGTATCCAATTTCTATTTAATCTGTTCTAATGCCTTCTTAGGTCAGAGGTAAAAGCTACAAAATAAAATAAAAATAACAAAAGACAATATCGAGAATTCTTTACGAAAATATTTTAGGTTCAACAGACATAACTGCCAAAGAAAAAAAGTCGCTGCTTTTTCTGGATGTGAAGATAACACAATGGCAATATGAACAGAATCAAGTTCAAATGCAAGGCCTAGTGATTTCTGTGTCCATTGTCATTCTCTTTCCTTTAGCAATGATCACATCATTGACATCTTTAAATATATATATCATATATACATATGTGTATATATGAAAGATATAGAAACTGATCAAATATATATATATCTCTATATATATCTATATATATGTAATCTTTTTCATTAGATTATTACCTCCTTTTAGTCCACCTTGGGTACCATAGCACCTATAATAGCCTCTAACTAGGTATCCAATAAATGTTTGTATACTTTAAAGGAATTCTGAATTTTCAATTACCTGCATATGAGTGATTGATTTTGTACATCACACATAGCAAGACAGAGGGTAAGGAAGCATCTTATTTCTTACAACAAACACTGATCAAGCTCCTACAATGTGTAAGAAAATTAGGGGAGGTGTGCTGTATTGCTTGGGTTTACTAAGGTGGCATACAGAGAAAATCAGTTAACTTCAAGTAAGCCAAGGAAGTCAATCTGCTATTTAGGAAGCACTGAAATGCATCCCAAGTCAGATAGACATACAGTTTCTAGAACATATGATGCTTTGAATTATGCATGACATTGATTCTGGAGTCACAGAAATTACTAAAATTACGAATGTATGAAGTCTGTAACTATTGGCTGGGAGTGGTGGCTTACGCCTGTCATCCATCCCAGCACTTTGGGAGGCCGAGGCAGGCGGATCACGATGTCAAAAGATTGAGACCACCCTGGCCAACATGGTAAAACCCTGTCTCTACTAAGAATACAAAAATTAGCTGGGCTTGGTGGTGCACACCTGTAATCCCAGCTACTCGGGAGGCTGAGGCAGGAGAATCGCTTGAACCTGGGAGGCAGAAGTTGCAGTGAGCCAAGATTGCACCACCGTGCTCCAGCCTGGCAGCAGAGCGAGACTCCATCCCAAAAAAAAAAAAAAAGGTCTATAACTATTAACTTGTTTACCATTATGATACGTTAAAGGAATTATTTTTAGAAACTGATCAAACAAGCAATAGGAGTGAACACCTTCCTTTACCCTACTAACCTGCACGACATTGCCTATAATCACACTGTCAACAGTTTCAGGTGAAACTTTGCCAGCAGACAAGGCAGCCTTGGCGGCAAATTCAGACAAGTCAGTAGCAGTGAAGTCTTTCAGAAGACCTCCATAAGCTCCAAAGGGCGTTCGCTTAGCAGCAACGACAAACACACCTATTGCAACAAGAAGAGATTTGTAAGCCATCACAGATTAGTAAATACCTCTAAAAGCTTCAAATAATCTCACCGTGAAACCTTACACAATTTAAAATTAGATGACGGAAATTTCTGTTAGGCAATAATACCTAGAATAAGTCACACCCACGGAAGCAGAGTCTTAAGGATCACCAGTTTGACAGTTTGATCTTTACCTACGTGCAGGTACCAAGAACTGCACTGCATGCTGTTAAGGAAGGAGACCACCACTCTCCTGTGCACCACCCCCACCCCTTGCCTAGTTTATAAGACAGTAGGAAAAGAAAAAAGCAAAAAGTTAAAAAGAAACAGAAGTAAGATAAATAGTCAGATGGCCTAGTGCTACCACCCGGCCCTGGTAGTTAAAATAATGATAATAATAATAATAATAGTAATATCAATCCCTGACCTAAACTACTTGTGTTATCTCTAAATTCCAGACATTGTATGAAAAAGCATTGCAAAACTTTCTGTTGTGTTAGCTTATGCATGTAGCCCCCAGTCACATTCCCCACCCTTGCTCAATCTATCACCATCCTTTCACGTGGACCCCTTAGAGTTGTAAGCCCTTAAAAGGGCCAAGAATTTCTTTTTGAGGGAACTCTGCTCTTAAGATGCAAGTCTGCGGACGCTCCCAGCCAAATAAAGCCTCTTCCTTCTTTAAGCCGGTGTCTGAGGAGTTTTGACTGCTGCTCGTCCTGCTACACTGTGATGTAAAGCCATTCTGGTTAGACAACTTTCTTGTTCTCTGATGCTTCACAATGCTAGAAACATTTGTTGAGAACTAAAATCCTTCTATGTGCTGGAGTATATTGTCTAGTATTACAATAAAAGAATCTCCAAACTAGAAGGTGCCTTAGGGTTGTCTGAGGTCAACCACTCACTCTATTAAGAACTCCCTCTAAAAATTCCTAACAAAAGCTTCTCTCTAAACCTCTGCCAGAAAACTTTCAGTAGGAGGACATACTCTACTGCATGAAGCAGTGTGCTGATCAATGGACAACATAAACTAATGATATTGCTTATTTTTTTGACAGAGTTTCACTCTTGTCGCCCAGGCTGGAGCACAGTGGTGCGATTTCGGCTCACTGCAACCTCCGCCTCCTGGGCTCAAGTGATTCTCCCGCCTCAGCCTCCCAAGTAGCTGGGACTACAGACACTTGCCACCACGCCCAGCTAATTTTTGTATTTTTAGCAGAGACGGGGTTTCACCATGTTGGCCAGACTGGTCTTGAACTCCTGACCTCAGGGGATCCATCTGCCTCGGCCTCCCAAAGTGCTAGAATTACAGGTGTGAGCCACCTGCTCCCAGCCCCAACGAATGATATTTCTTTATATTGAACTAACTCAGCTTACAAAGTCTTCCATCCACCAATTCTAGTTCTATCCAAAAGCACCAACACAGATAGCGATGTAGTTTATAGAATATATGCTGCTTTGAATTTGAATTACATATGCCACCAGTTCTAGAGTCACAGGATGACTCAAGTTACAGACTGCAAATAATAAGGTAAACTATTATAATACCTAACCTTGTTTTTTACTAACTTTGTTTTTACACTCTCCCTTTCTCCCTTAATCACCTAGCCTTGTTTCCACATGAATAAGCTCTTCCTTAGCTGAGACAGCCGGATGAGGACAAACTCCCATTTGGCTCCGTTATTTGCAAGGTTTCAAGGACTCCTTCATACCAAAGAGTCCAATTAACGGATAAGGTACTGAAGCAAACAATGTACAAGTTCCCAGGGTTTTGCTCAAGAGATAACACCATAAAGCCTTGAGTTTGTGTCCGGCAGAGCACACATATATAACATCTTATGAAAGATTTAGAGCCCCTGCACCTGGAACTGTTTGTTTCTCTGTAACCATTTGTCTTTTCAACTTTTTTACATGTTTTCACTTCTGTAGAATTGTTGCAACTGAGCTCCCCCTCCCCTTCCTAACTCGAAGTATAAAAGAAAATCAAGCCCCTTCCTCGGGTTGGAGAGAATTTCGAGCGTTAGCCGTCTCTCGGTCGCCGGCTAATAAAGGACTCTTAAATTTGTCTCAAAATGTGGCGTTTCTCTAACTCGCTCAGGTACAACACTATTATCTTTTACTCTTAGAAAAAAAATGGGCAAAACAGGTTACTTTCTACATGTGTATCCCCCACCTCCAGTATCTGAAGTCAGCTAACCTGTAAGTCCCCAAACCCAGTAACTCTCATCTCAGGTACATTAAAGGCATTCTTTCAATAGTTCTTCATTTGACATTAATTCTGACTGCTTTCCTCTAAAGACACTGTAGTTTGCCAACATCCTATTAAAATGTGTCCCTTAGAATACAACAAAACAGCATGCATTTTATCTAAACACAAAGAATACAGAGGAATTATCTACACATCTATTAATACACACTAAGACTATACATTTGCAGCATCACTATTAGTTAAATCGGTGTCCTTGTATGAATAAATGAAAATCACCCCTTCCCAATCACCTACTACCATCTGCCAAAAAAACTTGTGACTATACAAATATATGATTATGACGTGAGTGGTACTCACTCATCATCATTAGAGTTGTACAGTGCAAAACTGGCATATCAGTAAGCAGCATCAGTTATAGCCATTTCATCATATTGACATTCATTAGGCGTCTACTAAATACCAGACATTTTATCACTTTCCACACAAAAGCTAATCTTCCCAACAACTCTGCAAGGTAAATATTATAGCTAACATAGAAGGGACACTTACTATGCAATAGACTTCATGCTAGCACTTTGCATATACTAACTTTATTCTCTCCAAAACAATCTAAGTGCACATTTCCACATCTTGTCAAGAAATTATGGGACTTTTGGTAATGGGTTTGTGATAAGATACTGACCTACAAATTAGACTATTCAAGCATCATACCACTATTGGTATCTAAGTATAATCTTCCAATTTATGTCTATGATCTCTTTCATCAAACAAACCAGACCTAGCCTAAAATATTTCTATTTTAACCTCTCTTTTCATTCCTACTTTGAGAAATTTGCAGTTTAAAGGAATATCAGGAATATCAGATATATATATATCAATATATATAACTATAATTTAGAACAGATCCACTCAGCTTTTTACAGATACAAATTCAGATAGTTACAAAAGGCCATAAATACTAGTTGGGTGCATTACAAATGTTTTGTTCCGGTAAATGGGTTATTCTGTACCATGATGCCTTCCTGAATCTTTTCAAGTTTCTTCTCATCCTCCTACCTTAACAGTCTCTGCCTATTTTTATATCAGTGTTTTCTTTTTTTTTTTTTTTTTTGAGACAAAGTCTTGCTCTGTGCCCAGGCTAGAGTGCAGTGGTGTGATCACAGCTCACTGCAGCCTCGACCTCTGCAGCCTTGACCTCCCCAAGTCAAGTGATCCCCCTGCTTCAGCCTCCCAAGTAGGTAGGACTACAGGTGTGTGCCACCACACCTGGCTAATTTTTACTTAGTATTATTTTTTGTAGAGATGGGCTCTTGCTATGTTTCCCAGGCTGGTCTCGAACTCCTGGGCTCAAGCAATCCTCCCACCTTGGCCTCCCAAACTGCTAGGATTATAGGCATGAGCTACTGCACCTGTTCTATCAGTGGTTGCTTTATTTCATTCTTCTTTCCTCTTTCCATGCCTTCCTCCTAATTTCATTAGTTCTGCTTCTGGTCATGGCCTGCTATGCTCCTATCTGACCAACCCTCCAACAGAAAACAATGAAAAACTCAGGACAATATATGAGAACAACTACTACCTGCAGGTCTTGGAAATGAACAAAACTAGACAGGTAAGGAGAAGAGTTGATACTTAGAGGAAGAGAACAGAACAGGGTAAGTGCCCAATTTATTTATAGCAACTAACTTGAAGATTAACAGTCCGTGATGCATGGAATGGCTAGAACTCTGAAACACACAGTCTTACTGGCTTGAAGAATCAGAGAATAAAGTTCATGGTAAGCACAGCCACTAGAAAGTGAAGGAGAATCTGGGAAAGAGGAACACCATAGAGGGAGATTCCAAATTTCACATATAAACTCTGCCAAAATATTTGGCTGACTCTTTAGCCGTTTATGTGTAGGTCAGACCACAAGCACCTAAGCCAAGCCTTAAAAAACTGAACTTAGATTTAAATTGTTGCCCACTACAAGGGGAGACACAGTTTATCATGGGGGTGCATGGGGGTGATTCTGCGTACAAAAAATAAATAGCCAACCAATGAATAAGTCAATTCTGTCTGCAGGATTACAACAGAATCCAGTCTCCACAATGTTTCATCTGCAATGTTCATAATACAATTCAAAATTAATCCACATATGAGGAAACAAAAAATATGACTCATTTTCAAGAAAAAAGACAATCAACAGAGACCAACCCCAAGAAGACCCAGATGCTGAAATTAGCAGACAAGGATTTAAAATAGTTACCTATTATAACTATGCCCAAGGATGTAGAGGAAAATATGCTCCTAATAAAACACATGACATCTCAGCAAAGAAATACATACTATAAAAATCCAAAATGGAAATTCCAAAACTGAAAAATAACTGAAATAAAAAATTCCCTGGATGGGCTTAACAGCAGAATAGAAATGAAAGGAGAAAAATTCAGCGACTTTGAAGATAAATAGAAATTATCCAATCTGAAGAACAGATGAAAAAAAAGATTAAAAAACAAAGCCAGAACCTCAAGGTCTGACAAAGGAGGAGGGGCAATTCACTGGAAAAAGGATAGTCTTTCCAACAAATAGTGCTGCAACAACAAAACATCCATATACCAAACAAAAAGAATCCAGGCAAAAATGTCTCGTGGCTCAAGCCTATAATCTCAGCTACTCAAGAGGCTGAGATGGGAGGACTGTGTCAGGACAGGAGTTTAAAATCAGCCTGGGCAATACAGCAAGATCTCCATCTCTAAAAAATGTAAAAAATTAGTTGGGTATAGTGGCATGTGCCTGTAGTCCCAGCTATTCA